CTCTCTCTCTCTCTCTCTCTCTCTCTCTCTCTCTCTCTCTCTCTCTCTCTCTCTCTCTCTCTCTCTCTCTCTCTCTCTCTCTTGCTCCTGACTTGTATTGCTCAACCTCGCCGAACTCTCGCTCTCTCTTCTACCTCTACTTGGACCAACCCTGAATACACCCGCTCGTGCCGTCCTTGACCTCGGCGGCTATGGCCGCCTTCCCTCTTCCTCGACTACCCTAACCTCTTCCTCGACTACCCTAACTATGGCTTCACAGTGTTCACACACACCGTCCTCCCCGCTTTGGCGCACGTCGCCCAGGTCCCACGATCGCACAAGCAACAAGCAGCGCTTACACAACTCGCAGATGAAAAACTGGCTTTTGCTTAGAACTGTAGCAGCTATAAATAGGATGTCTGACGTGACGTTTGCCTCCTTTGGACCGGTACCGGTCGCCCGCGGCCTTGTCTGCTGCACGTTTTCTTTCTTCCGGAAGTCTTCAGACTTCTTGGGACGCTGCTGCAAATGTGGACTTTGGGACTTTGGGACTCTGGGACTTTGGGACCGGACTGGACCAGCAGACTATTACCAGTCTGCAACGTTTCGATTCCGAACCCTACTGGACTGCGACGCTTCGACCGTTAGACCCCACGAGACCCTATCGACCTTGAGACTCAACCTACAGGGACTTAGTGGGAATGGGACCAACTGGGATCCTGGGACCAGGACTCGGGCATCTGTGTAGCGTGAAATCCTGTCAGTCTAAGTCAAAGCCCAACAATAAAACCTAGGCTACTTGGCTCGACCGCCCGTGCAACACGGGCAAGTCGCCTGGGGGTCACCTGCACGGGACACCCCGTGCAGGCAAAAATCAGCCCTTTTTTTTTTTCCTGGTTGTTTTTCGGGTGACGGCTTTCTCTTTTCGAGTGTTTGCTGTCAAGGGGGGGGGGGGGRRGGGGGGGTTAAACTTTAAATTGGTTTTTAAGGGACTATAAAGGGGTCAAAAGGGGGATGCCATACTCTGATTTTGTTGTTTTCTTTTTATTTTCAATTCTGTGAGGAATTTGGATGTGACGCTCAGCCAAAAGTCGTTTGTATTGAAAGTCTACGCAACATTCTCTTTTCTGGAATTTTGAATTTCTCTTCTTCTTTTTGGGGGGGCGTTGGGGCGGTGGGGCTGGGCGGAACCCTGCCCGGGTGTCGCGCCCGGCCGGTCACCCGGGCGTGTATCCGGGCACAAGTCGGGTGCCCGGGCGCCCTGACAAAAAGCCTTGAATAAGACTTAATTTTTCTGGTACAATGTCTTCCGGGGCATCTGTTAACATTGCAACGATACAGAGAAGATTAGTGTGGCACCTGCGCAAGTTGGTTGGCTGTCAGGTGAGAGAGCTGAGCAAACATTCATCAGTGACTGAGAACAGTCGATCGATGACAAAGCCAAGTTACAACAGTAAATTAGAAGAGTACAGCAAAGATTGCAAAAGCCGGTGGGTATAGCTAACCGATCGAGGCAAACATTTCCAAGTGGGTTCACATGGGCCTTAGCAGGTTGGCTGTCAGGTGAGAGAGCTCAGCAACCATTCATCAGTGACTAGCGCTAGAGCCCTCGCTGGGCAGAGCTGCGGTAAGCAAGGAAGGCGGCCATAGCCATTCAGTGTAGAAGTAGGAGTAAGGCTTAGTCGTAGCGGATGTATCCAGAGTCAAGATCTTCATAGCACAGAGAGAGAGAGAGAGAGAGAGAGAGAGAGAGAGAGAGAGAGACAGAGAGAGAGAGAGAGGCAGAAAGAAAGGGAACTCGTGAGAGAGAGAGAGGAAGTGAGACAGCGAGAGAGGGCGTCACCTACCAGGATGAGGATGTTGGAATTTGGGTTGATGAACTCTGCGCTGAGGGGCGCTTGGTGACTACTGTCTTCACCCAAATAGAACGCCCGGTCATTATATCTGTATATGGTGCAAATTTCAGTCCAGATACGGCGATAATTACCGGGCGTTCTATTCGGGTGAAGACGGTAGAACTCTGAAACTGTTACTACAATAATTCGTTGGAATTTCTTCTTTTTTTTCTTTTTTTTTTTAAATAAACGCAGGGCCTTATGGTCCTGGCTCCTTCTAAGCTGCGCTTATCTGGACTTTTTGTCTCTGGTCTTCAGTGTGGATTTTGTCTGAAGCTACTATGAACTCTCACTGAGCATGCGCGTGGAGTGACCAATAGGTTCTGCTTAATTGGTCACTCCTCCATGCGCATGCTCAATGACAGTTCATAGTAGCTTCAGTCCAATGCAGCACTGAGAGTGGGGGGGGGTGGGAGTGGGGTAGAACACACACATGAAGTATGTTCATGCAACCTGAAAAACAACAGGCATATTTTATCACAATCAGATTGTCATCCTGCTTTTTTTTTTTTTTTTTTTTTTTCCTCCTTCGGAAGCAGAACCTATTGTCAGTCATGAATGGGTTGGGAAACTGGTAAAAATAAAAAAGTGAACACAATATGCCAGGTCGAGAACCACCATTTTTTTTAATTAAGAAAAAAAAAAAGAGCAGAACTGAAATGAGAGGAACACACATGGAGAAATGAGAGCAATATGCGAACGGAAGGAGCTGAGCACTGAGGTGTTGAATAAGCCGCCAGGTGTCGTATTGTGGTTTGACGAAAGAAAATCCTCTCACCGGGCCAATAATCACGTCTAGATCCATCTGCACCCCTTCTCTCAAAATAGTTAACCGGCCTGACTCCCCAGCCTTCTTCAAAGACACCAGGTAATCGAAAGAGATTCTCTCCTTCCTGCGGAATGGAACTGCCAGAAGACAACAAAAAAAAAAAAAAAAAAAACAAGAGGGGGGGGGGGGGGGGGGGGGAGCACAAAACACCAGTGTCAGAAACTCTCAGGAAAAAAAAAAAATAATAATTTCAAATAAATTCAAATAATGATATAATAATCTGTGTTATAAACTGGGCCTCCCGGGTCACCTTGTTTGCCCGGGCCGCCCGCGGCCGGGCAAGGACCAGGGAAGGTCCCTGTCTGGTGTGGATGAGTGTGAAATGAACCTCTCAAGATTCAATCTTAGAATATAACATGCAAATTGAGAGCAATCAGATGAAGTTAACACAAGCTGGAGTGATGTCCATGAACAGTGCAAATTCGAAGTTCCACTCAAGGTGCAATAATATACATTGGAAAAGTTTGAGAATAAGCGGTTTGAACCGCTGCAACAAGCCTCAGGTATGTAACCAACTTCCTCCTCCCTCGGCTGCTTCTCTTCTCTCTTTCTTTCTTTCCCTGTCTCTCTCGATAGTCTCTCTCTCTCTCTCTCTCTCTCTCTCTCTCTCTCTCTCTCTCTCTCTCTTGCACTGTTCCTCCCTCACTGTTCCTCACTGACTGTTCCTCTCTCGACGTCCTAGATCTACCCTGAATGCTACTACGGTGTGCCTTACTGATCCTGGGTGGCTATGGCCACCGGGGAACCTCTCCCCTCTTGCCTGGCTATGGCTGACTGTAGCAGCCAGGCACTGCGCACTTCTCCCCCCTTGTGCTCCTTCTTCGCCCAGGTCGCTTGATCGCACAAGCTCTCGCTACGCTTCCACAATTCTGCGAAATGAACAAGTGACCCTTGTGGCACTGTAGTCCAAGATATATAGTTGCAGTGGACTGTTTCATTCCTCCTTCAATCGGTACTGGCCTCCTTCGGCCTCTGCCTTGCCAAATTGCTATTTTGGGAAAGTTCCCAACTTTCTTGTGAGGCTGCTGCAAAATTGTACTTTTGGGGACTTGACATGCTCCTACAGGTACTGTACGGTACTGTAGCCAACCGGCCTGTGACGCCTGATCCTACAGGCCCTAAGATTCTAATCGACGGGGGCCTGGGACTGGGATGATGTAGGACCCTGTAGGGTATCAGTTGTCGGGCAGTCATTGATGCTTAACCACAGCCGGGGTTAAGGTGGATTATCACTTACAGTTTAATCAGTTAGGGGGCTCTGCAGACTGTTTTTGAGGGTTCAGCCTCCTGATGAGTCAGTCAGTGACACAGTCCGGCGAAACAATTTGTCACAGCCCCTCGTTCGTTTGTTGTCCTCTTCTCCCTCTCTGCCTACGGTTTACCGGGCAGCTGTGTTTGACGATGGGTCGGATCGAAATTCTTTGCGAAATAAAAAATAAAATTAAACAAATAATACAAATATTTTTTTATTTTTTTTTAATTTATTTCTGGCCCGGACGGGCAAGTGCTCCCGGACCACTCTGGCAACATAGGATATAATCCTTCTTTTTTTTTTTTTTTCTTAACAGGGTTTTCTTTTCCCACCGATAATCCTTTCCTACACACAAGCAATATACTTCCAAAAAAATGGTATCAGGGGCAGCAGAATTTTCATTTTCTGTTTATTTTTTAATCCGAATTGGGAGAGCAAAGGTGGGTAGGTAGTCAAAAAGAGCAAAGGTGGGTAGGTAGTAAAAAATGCAGAAACAAGCAATCGTTAGATTCGGTTCCTGCAACCTTTCGCCCACCCACGTTCTCTTTCCCAATTCCGGAAATTTTCATAATTAAAAAAAAAAAGAGAAATCCGAATTGAGAAAGAGAAGGTGCATGCACACAGAAATCTTTTTTTGTGCACTGAGAAGGTGGGTGGGTTAAAAAACTTTTAAAAAGTGCAGAAAGCAGCAATTAATAATGAATTCAAGACCATTTTGGGCCTGTTTTCAAGACAACCTTTGTTTGAGCTTCAACGCCAGGGTCTGGCACGTTTTGGCATTGGCAAGAGCAGCCTCCTGGACGGGCCAGCACTATATAAGACTGGCCCGCCCTGCAGGCCGCAGGTAGTTCATAGGGACTTCCCAGGCACTTCACGTGCAGTTCAGGAGGCAGGAGGTCGTCTTCAGGATTCGGCAGCACCACTCTGGAGGAGCGAGTAGTAGTAGTAGCGCTAGCAGTAGTCTTCAGCGCTGGGCGCTAGTAGGAGCTAGAGTAGTACTGGAGAGAGAGAGAGAGAGAGAGAGAGAGAGAGAGAGAGAGAGAGAGAGAGAGAGAGATGGTTGGCGGAGGCCAGAGATACTTACCTGCAGCGCCATAGCTCCAGCTTCGTCTTCGAGGTACCTGCAGCACGGCGCCACCTTAAGAGGTTAGTACTGGCACACGAGAGAGAGAGAGAGAGAGAGAGAGAGAGAGAGAGAGAGAGAGAGAGNAGAGAGAGAGAGAGAGAGAGAGAGAGAGAGAGAGAGAGAGAGAGAGAGAGTTCTTCTTCTTCCTCTTCTCAGTCCACCATCTCCCTCTCACCCTCTCGCTAACTGACTTCACTGCATCAGCAGACTACGAGAGAGCGGGCTTGGTGACATTTGGATCCAGACTCGACATTGGGCTTCGGACAGTTGACGAGGGACTATCTGGGACTTGTAACGAAGACTTGGTGTTGACRACATTCCCATCTTCCCCCCTTCTTCCTCGTCTGATCCCCTCCTCTTCGTCTGTGTATGGTCTGGACCTGGCGCATTCTTCCTGTGTGTAGCGCCAGGCCCCTTCACACCTTGTGATGAGGATGATGTATGTTTGGTCTGTATTGCGACATTGATTGGGCTAATCATTGGTATTCTAGCATTCTGCTGCGCTGTCTTGTACTACGTGAGAGAGGTCASTCCCGGTCAGGTCAGGGCTTATATCTAAGTCTTCCCCTGCGCTATTATGTGCCATTTTGTATGTATTAGTATGTACACTGCTTGTTGAGATTCCACTAGCACTGCATTGTCCATTCAGTCCTTTTTATCACATTGCGGATCCTTGGCTATATAGATACATCGCCCAACTGGACATGTGACAGCCGGTCAGTTCAATGATGATCTCTCTCTCTCTCTCTCTCTCTCTCTCTCTCTCTCTCTCTCTCTCTCTCTCTCTCTCTCTATCTATCTATCTATCTATCTATATATATATCGTCACAAATAGAACTGCCCGGTAAACCGTATATATATATAGACCCTTCCTATTTTGGATGTTGACGTCCATCCTGGTTGCTTACCTGTTCCGTCATTCGATATGGGGACCCCATCAAAAGCCATTATGACGTCATCTTTCTTGATCTTTGTACTAACATCAGTCAGCGGATGTATCTTGTTTACCAGCACGCCAGTCATACCACTTGCCATGTTCAGGTGCTGGCGCAGCTGCTCATTCTCCATAGACTGACATGTCAGACCCAGAGTGCAGAACCCCATGTACCGCCCACGCTGCTCTACATCCTCCAGAAAGTGCTGGATTATAGAAACAGGGATGATGTAGCTGCACACACACAAAATATATCTTCACCGTCAGCACAACTTCGCTTTTCTGTTCATGCTTTTTTTCTTATTCTTTTTTTTGGGCCCTTTTGTCAAGTTTTGTTTATAATTACGACCTTTTTCTCAATATATCGTGCCGTCCTTCTACAGGGTCCATTGCTCATCATCTCCTCTTCCTCTCTATCGTTCCAATTTTATAGCATGTCACAAAGGACCAACAACGTTTTTCCCACCTTTTCAGAAAAAAATCCCTTTTCAAGTTTTCATCAAGCAAAAATGACGTACCTGCGCACACCACAAACTTCTGAATATTGGATTACATCTACTGGGCCGTCTCATCCGACTCCCAACTACCTTTTTCACCTTATCCTTTTTTTTTCTTTTTTTTTTGCTTTTTTCATGTTATCTAAGACATCGCAAAAACCAAAACCAAATCTTCGGTCTCCTCTACCACAGACAAACATGGATGACCAGAAAACCAAGTAGCATAGACAAAGTGACACCGACAAATCTCTCTCTCTCTCTCTCTCTCTCTCTCTCTCTCTCTCTCTCTCTCTCTCTCTCTCTCTCTCTCTCTCTCTCTCTCTCTCTCTCT